CACATCAAAGATCTATGTCCTCTCACAGTTTAATTCGGCATCCTTGAATAAGCACTTGTCCCGTGCGTATGCGAGCAACTTAGGTGGCTACAATATAAATTACCTAAATTAGACTGTAAGATACTTTAGATGACATGGCTTATAAAACATCACATGGTGCATTGGACGCCTTACAATATAAATTACCTAAATTAAGTCCAATTGAATCTGGCTGTTGTTGACCGCCTTTTGTGTAGGTTCTCCTTTATTTTCGAAGAATTTCCTTAACTACAATAACTGGTCAATATCAATTAATTTTTTGAACTATCACCTCAATTAATTTTAAAAATTGAGGTGATAGTTATTATTATAATTATTTTTTAACATTATATTATTTACACATAATATTAAAATAAATTATTTACAACAAATCTCTTCAATGGTTTTTCTGCATTCACAATCCATCATATAAGTGTTGATGCTTGAATGTTAGAAGTTTGCATCCAAGATTGATTGATGATGCTATCATTATCATTGTCTTTACTATCGTATACAATGTGCATGTGTTGAATGTATCCAACTTATAATAAGGTGTTTCTCCCAAAAATTGGAAAATATTTTTTCTGCACTTGCAATCCATCAGTAAAGCTTTTAAGAATAACAACAACAATAACTTTTAGAAATAATAACAACAACACCACCATTGTTTGAGATGGATTACAAAAGCTGAAAAAATGTTTTGTTCAAGATAGAAGAACATTTTTTTTCAGTTTTGCAATCCATCCCCTAAAAAATGATGCATTCGACGATGGGATGGCTACAAATAAGATAACATTAGGTTGAAATCTGTTCAAAGAGTGTTTTTATAGTAAAATCTGATTAATTTATCCCTCGGGTTATCAAAGAAACTGAATGATAAGATAATTTGTTTTACACTTGTAAGCAAATAAAAACATAAAGTGCAATAGCTGAGATTTGAAGCATGTCCGAAATGGTATATCACCTCGATTTTTAAAAAAACCGATGAAAAAATTTGTTTTTTTAAAACAAAATGAAAATATGGCGTGCCTTGAAATAAATCCTCGTTTTTTCTGAATGATGTGAAAGCTTCGTCATGAAAAACATTATTTATTGTAGTGTGCAAAAGAACAATTACAACCAACTAAATGACTAAATTGCAATAAAAAATAACATGAGAGAACATAGAAAATTGTTTACCTAGTTCGATCAAACTGATCTACGTCGGAGGGAGAGAGCTTCTCTTCGATAAACTATACTTTAAAGAATTGTTACATGAGATTGCAATATGAGTTACAATAAAATATTTTTTTTTAATCAACAATACACAAAACAGATTCAAATAAAAAGGAACCATACAAAAGATTTGGGGAGACATATAGTCTAACCCAATAAAAATCAAATAATAAAGCAAATATGAATTAGAGACAAACATTTATACGTCACGTGCAAAATCTAGCGAACCACCCACGAAGCAAAACCAAATTGCAAAAAATGTGATATATGAATTGACAATATAGCTAACTCGAATTTTAAATATGACAAATAAACTTGACTGCCAACACGATAAAGAATTCATTAACCAATAACTTACTCACAAACAATAGCAAGCAATCGCGACCAGTTCTAGCCAAACACTCCAAAGTCAATCACAATTGACTAAAACAAATTTAAGACAATAATGGTAGCAAACTCGAACCAGAGGTAGAATTGACGAACCGCCACTCGTTCAAACGACCAAAATCCTTCTATGCAACGAAGACAATTTAAACCTTGAAATTTGCAAATCTAAATAGATCTGGAACCAAACAGAGAATCAAAGGTCAGAAATGTCAACACACCCACACTAGAGAAGATGAGGGTGAGATGTGACAAAAATTGGCACCGAAAAAGTCTCAGAACTATAACAAAAGCTCAGCAAAACGAAGCTAATAACAATATCGTGAAGGAAGGGAAGACGATGGATCACCGCCTGAAACAAAGCCCATTGGAGCTATATCAAAATACCAGCGGTTGTACGGCCACTGGAACAATAGAGCGAGGGAAAACAAAGCCATCGACGTGTCTGTAGTCGCATGACCCAAACACGTTGAGAAAGAATCACCAATTATGACCGGCCACCATCCACAAAGCTTCCAACGTCCATTTCCAACTGAGAAACATCCAACCGCCTAAAAGGGATTAAAGGGTCTTGAAGCCGCTTGGAGTGCTATTAAAAGCCTTTTCCAGTATAATGTGTGATGCTACCCGAGAAAGGAGGTTGGTTTGAATTTGAGAAGGTTGGATGAGGAAAAGAAAGGGTGAACGGTAGTTGAAGAGAGAAAATAAAGCGTTCACTTAATTATATTTTTTATCTAAGTGTTTCACACTCTCTCTATCTTTCAATATAAAAATCACAAAAATCTAATGTGTTTATTTCCCAAAAGTCTCTCTATCTTTTAATATAAAAATCACAAAAACCCAATAGGTTTATTTTCCAAATCCCTCTGATAACTCTAAAGAGGCTGGCAAACTCTAAAATTATAATAAAAAATTTATATTCTTTGCTTCTCACTATGGTGACTACCTTATATCCTTTCCGCAACTTGCGTTAACAACAAATAAAAGAAAATCCTATTTACAACCGTCAAAAACTCAACGGTTTCAAAATATGAGTCATTAAAAGATGAATTCCCAAACAAACTTGAAAAAAAATGGCATTACGGAAAAATATATTACCATGCAAATTCTATACTTGAAAAAGGATTTTTATTTTTCCTATAAAGAAAAGTTTGACTTATGAGTTCTATATATAGCTAGCCCTGTAGTTTCTAGTTAGACTTTTCAAATTCTACCAACTCTACAATCTGCAAACCAGTTTTCTCTCTTGTTATAAATCATTTTAGGCAACTTCAAACTAGTTTAAGACCTTGAACACACACACATAAGAAAACTAATGGCATGCATAAACTGTCCACCAAGTTCAGTTGAATCATGACTGATTAACTCCCGGTGAAGTGGGAGAAGTTATCAGAAACACCAAAAAGAGAGAGATTGCACAAACTCCAAAGAAATATTTTATCTAATATAATGCTACCAATTACCCAACAGTTTGAAGCAGTGTCGAATTCTCACTACAGTTGATATATTTATTATGATGAATGAAAATGAATGAAAGAGTACCAACTATAGCTACATGAATTCCCTGAACTCAACTTTCGACAGATCAAATAAAGCTACCAGAAGGCCCCCCCCTGAGATCTGAAAACTCATTCACATGAAATGATGAAACAGAAAAAAAAAACAGAATATATATAAATATATAGTGCTACCTAAAACCCAATGGATAATTAATGACATATATATATATATATATATATATATATATATATATTTGAACATTTTCAATCTTCTCTTAATCTTAATACTATCATCTTACATTTTTTTTTTCGAGATACATAATATTAGGGTTTGAACTCTGATGATGACATTCAATCTAAAAATATCGGTTTTTTTTTCCGGTTGAGTTAACATTTGCAAACTAATACCTTACATTTTGATTGCATATATTTTATCTTATAGTAAGGTTTGAATATAATTTTAACATGTCTAAGATTGTTTGTCATCTCATCACAATAAACGCTTGACAACACGCTGTTAACTACATTTCAAAAAATTTAAACCTAAGGGTTTGAAATCTTAACTATGTTTTTATGAGAATCTAGATGTAGTTGATTGCGTGTTGTTACGTGTTTGTGGTGAATGTACATGATCGAATAGAGATTGTATGTATAGTTGAAAAAAAGTGAAAAAAAAGAAGAAAAGTAATTTGAATTTACCACAACAAAAAAAGACATGGAACATGATCTGCAAATCCATTAGTGAGTCATAAATGAGTCACCTTCAAGTACACACACATATTTATTACAAATTGGACCGTGAATAATTGGTCACACAAACACAACATAAGCCTTTAGACTTTAGTTACTGCTGCTACTACTAACAGCTACTTCAAATTAATTGCTCTCTCTATAACACTGCTGCTGCTACTTCCCACCTTCAACTGCAGTTTCCCCAATTCCATTGCATATCTAACACTGCAGTAATCCCATGTATTCAACTCACCACTTCTGCATCATAATAAATTAATAAACAAAGCAAAACAATGAAGAAAAACAATTTCTACATGTATATGTATATATTTTAGGTATATAATTACTTAAATTTCCTTAAACTTTAGTTCACTTGTATGAATTTTTTTAGGGCTTTTTTGGTTTAGTTTCATGATAAAGATTATACAAAAATAAAATGGCAAACCGATAACAAGCTGCACCGTTATTTTTTTTGAAGCAAAATTAATTTTTTTAAAAGCTATATTCATTGACCAGACACAACATTGTTACACACGAGCCTTTAGACTTAAAAAAATTTACTTCTCTGTTGCTAGAAAACCAAAATTGTAAAAGACACATAGTATGAAAACATGTTAGATTCACTATGGCAATTCAATTGTAACCTAGATTGCATCTCAATAGTATTTGAGTTCAATTCTCTACAATATCAAAAATCTGAACGGTTGCATCTAGCCAACCTCTATTTGAACCTTTGTTTGTGTATTAATAGATATAATTTACATTTTTCTTTATATTTAAATATTAAACCTAACTAACTAAGCTTAAAGTCTTTTTTTATAAGAACTTGTATCTTAGTTAGTAGAGTGTTATGTGAGTAATCTAGGTTTGAATCATGAAAGTCTAGTAGTATCAGTTTCAGAATGTCAGTTCAGTTGGTAGGTGTGCGGAACATCTAGATGAATGAGTTAAAAGACCAGGAAAGGAGTTAAATCCTTATAGCATTGTACTACTTACATAAAATACTACATATACAAATAAAATTACCTTATGGTGTAGAATAATTTGATCTGAATATTGCAAATAGAATAGAAATATATTTGGTTCAGGACACACACACACGTGTATATATAGAAATGAATTGAGTACGTTGGTTGTAGTAAATTACTTACATTAGTGATCAAGATCAGTTCCAGTTGCATTTGGTGGTGGTGGCGGCTGAGGCGGACGCTTTCTCTTCTTTTTCTCATAACTAATACCTCTAGCTTTAGCCTGTGAATCCCTAACTTCACGAAGATAAAGCCTAACAGCACGAGCACCGAAAGGATTAGCTTCTGGTTTCCCACCATTCTCTTCAAAAGCAGCTCTAAGTCTTCCTATCAGTGCATCAAGACTCCCCCAGGCTTGGCGTAGAGGACAAGGACAAGGTGCAGGTGGATTTGGATGACCAAAAAAGGGACAAATCTGTGTGTGGACTTTTGTTTTTCCAAACTGGTCAAGATAGCGCAAGAATTCAAGGACATGAGCACCACTACAACGTGAGAGTGAGAGTGGTGGTCTGTGGTTTCTTAGGTATTGTCCAAAAGTGTTCCAGTCTCTTCTCTTTTGATTCTCGTATCTACTTGGTGTTGTTGTGGTTGCTGATGGGGAAGATGGTGATGTTGTTGAGGATGATGCTGATGTAGTTGATGATATTGTCATCATGGATGATGAGGATGAGGATGAGGATGTTATTATGCTCATAGGGTTGGTGTTGATCATGTCTTTATTGTTTGATGAAGATTCAAATTCTTGAAGAGAATTCATCATTAGTTTAGTGGTTTTTTCTGATCTACCTAGATTGGATCTTTAGTAGGGTTTGATTATTTGTGAAGAGAAACAAGAAAAGTGATATCAAGAAAGAAAAAAAAATATGTAAATGCTTCAAGAGGTTTTAAGAGAGACAAAGAGATATGAAGAGTGGTTTTGAAGATTTGAAGGAAGATGATGATGGTGTTATAGGTGAAAGAAAGTTAGAGAGACAAGGTAGGGTAAAAGAACAGTGGAAGTTTATGAGCATAGTTTCTATGAACTCCTTTGGGTTTTGTTAACTCCTAGAATAATGAATGATAATTAGTTTCTAATATAAAGTTGCTTTAACAAAGTGATTCACCTTTAGTTTGATATAGTTCGATTAAGGATCACTTCTAACATCAAATAGTTTCAATCATCTTTACTATTAAATCAATTAATAAAAATTGATTAAAATATAATCATTTGAGTTAAGAGAATCATTCTCAAATTTTTTTTTGATATTAATATATTTTAAATTGGAATTTTAAATCTATGATTAACTTAAAAATATCTCTTTCATTATTAAGTACTCTTAGATTAAAGACAAAAAAAAAATCCATTCCTACATCTATGTCTTCACTCTTCACCAACTTGTCAACTCTAATTAAAGACAAATTATTTAGGATAATACTAATATTTTTTGAGTAATAATTAAATATATTAGATAATCAAGTAAAACAATATTCAATTCTTATAATACAAATTTAAATTTTAACTATATTTTTTATATACCACGTGTAGATTGAATAAAAATAAAAGAGATTGCAAAATAATTAGAGAGCAAAATCCAAACTACCTTAAAAATAGTAAGCATCTCAATCAAACTAGAATTACAACAATCCTGATATAAACAAAAGAAATTCAAGTATAGGCAAATGTATTCAAGTGCTACAATATAGACATTATGAATCGATCGTCAATACGAATCAAATTCAAGTATCAACAATTTTTTACGAAAAATCAGACAAACATAAAAGTTCTTTCAAGTCAAACAAACCTAAATTAGAACGAACTAAAACTGAAAAATCATAAATCCAACAAGGCGGGAATCAAAAGATTTGGAGAAAAAAAAAAGATTTTTGTTAGGTGATGGATTTTCTTGATTAGACATTTACATTTAAGTGAAATTCTTGATTATTAATGTCTGTTTTTGCTTAACAACAATAAGAGTTAAACTAAAAAAGAAAGAGTTAATTTTCTTAAAAAATGAAAAGAAATATAGGAATATGGCAGAAACAATTTCCGGAAAGAGGGAAGCAAGTGAGTTTGAATGAGTGTATATCTCAGTGATTGAGCAAATAGAGAAACGAGAGGGGTGTAATTGTGAAGTGAAAGAAACATTGTTTTGGCCTTTAGGGCTTTTGTGGAAATGAAAATAGGTTGATAGTGACACTGAAACATGACTGATGCAGACAGTATAAAGCGTTTTGGTAAATATATTATATCAAAGAATAATTTCATTTTCCTGCTTCTCTCTTTTCTCTTGATTGACAACACCTTTCTTTAAATTACTTTTTTATCCTTTCCTGTCCAATACCAACTTTACCTTCTTACATGCACAGTATATACTATTTATCAAGTAAGAAGGGTTTGTAAGCAAATCAATCTATCATGTTATATATGGTTACTTTTTCATAAGTGCTAATCCCTATAGAATATCTTTTCTTCTCAATCATCAAATCATTGACTGCCAAACTATTAACTTAACCACCAATGAGTAAGTAATTGTTATTATTAAAAAATTTATATATATATGTGAAATTGGAGTACAATTGACTATATGTGTTGGTCTCAGATTCTCTGGCCATGGTAGTACCATTTTTTTCTATATAAGTAACAATGTAAAATCCACAGTTCAATATGATGTATGTAGTCCTGAGAAATTTTCTCAGCAATGAAATTCCTAACTATACTCTAAAGAAAGTATACAAGGTTGAACAACTAATATTTAAGATTGAATACAAAGTAAAGAAACTCTGCATTATTTTTGTGTTTATGAAGTTTACAATATTTAAGAATATGACACCTACATTGTTTATTATGTTCTTGATTCATTAACTAGCATATTGTATTATGTAAAATTATGACTAATAACGTTTATATTAGATATAACTACTATGTATAGTATGTCTTAGTTATAGTATGTAAGAAAGTTAACTTTGGTCTTCTCACAAAGTTCCAGAAAGACTCTTGGATTGGGTATATCTCTCTTAGGGTTAAGATTTTCTCAACTTTTTCTATCTTTGATCAGAAGAATTGTTCAGTAAGATGTTGAATAAACTTTAATGTTATAGTTAGTGGGATTCTATTAATAAGTTAGTGGAAAGATTAAGAGTTTGTTGTAGTTGAAAGACCAAGAGATAGTGACCTATTAATAGTATTTACTAATATTATTTGTTTTCCTAGAATAGCAGAAATCTCCGAGTCTATATAAAGACCAAAATTGTATTCTATTTGATAAGAAGATATAAAAAGTATTGCTTCCTTCTATCAAATTGGTATCAGAGCTAATGACAAACATGATGAATCAAATGTCGTTGTCACGGCTAACGAAGTCAAATTACGAAAACTGGAGTATCCAAATGAAAGTTCTTCTTTGATCTCTAGACGCATGGGAGGTGACTAAAGATGGGATTGAAGAATCAAGATATGCTGCGGGATATACAACAACTCGAAATAAGGTGTTGAAAGAGACGTGATCGAAGGATAAAATGACACTATACAATTGTTTATTCAGGGTTGTTGACGAATCAGGCTTTGAAAAGATTGTTGGTTCGACTATGTCGAAAGAAGCATGGGACACGTTAGAGAAAGTGTTTAAAGGAGAAAATCGAGTAAAGCAAGTTCGACTCCAAACTCTTCATGGCGAATTAGAGAGGATGCAGATGAAGGAGTCAGAAATTGTATCTGACTACATCATGCGTGTACAAAAGATGGTGAACCAATTCACCATAAATGGCGAAACAGTAACTGATGCACGAGTTGTTGAAAATATTTTGAGATCTTTAACAGATAAATTTGAGAATATTGTGTGTGCAATAGAAGAGTCGAAGGACCTTTCGACGCGCTCAGTCGAAGAGCTCGCTGGTTCTCTCGAAGCACATGAGCAACGTAAGATGAAAAAGAAGGAAGAAGCAGTCGAGGAAGAAAATCAAACCAAGGAGTCGATCAAAGACGAAAAGGTACTCTTTTCTCAAAAATTTTGAGGAAGAGGACATGGTCGTTGAGGTCGTGACAGTGGTCGAGGCAACAACTTCGAGAGATGACAGTCGAGCCAGCAAAATTGGCGTGACAGAGGACGTGGTCAAAGAGGTGGTCGGTCGAACTACTCCAACTTCGAATGCTACAAGTGTGAGAAGTATGGTCATTACGTGAAGGATTGCAATTCCTACAAATGTTATAATTATGAGAAAGTGAGACATCTTGCAAAAGATTGTCGAATCAAAAAGAAGGTAGAAGAAACAACCAATCTAGCTTTAGAAACTGAAGTGAATGAAGGTTTTCTCTTGATGTCTCAAAATGAAATCAACACCAATAATGACAATGTTTGGTATCTTGACTCAGGAGCAAGTAATCACATGTGTGGTCACAAACACCTATTTAAAGAAATGAAAAAAAATGAAGATGGTAATGTGTCTTTCGAAGATGCATCGAAAGTGAAGGTCGAAGGCAAGGGTACAATCTGTTACTTACAGAAGGATGGCTTGATTGGATCAATCTAAGATGTTTATTATGTACCAGATCTCAAGACCAACATCTTGAGTTTGGGACAACTTACAGAAAAAGGTTATTCGATACTTATAAAAGATCGGATACTGCATTTGAAGGACAAACTAGGATATCTGATTGCTCATGTCGAAATAGAAAGAAATCGAATTTACAAATTGAATTTGTGGAACGTTTGAGATAAATGTTTACAAGTCAATATGCAAGACAAAGCGTCCCTATGGCATCTATGCTTTTGTCATTTACATCGTGCTGGTTTGAGAAGGTTGGCGAAAAAGAACATGGTGCACGAACTACCAGACATGGGATTATGAAGGAAAGTTTTGTGAAGAATGTGTGCTTAGCAAATAAACAAGAACCTTATTTCAAAAGAAGGAAGCATATCAAGCTAAACATATTCTCGAATTGATTCATACCGACATATGTGGGCCAATCACTCAGGAATCTTTCAGAGGAAAAAGGTACTTCATTTCCTTTATCGATGATTTCTCACGAAAGACCTGGGTTTATTTCTTGAAAGAAAAGTCTGAAGCATTAGAGGTGTTCAAAAAGTTTAAAGTAATGATGGAGAAGGCAACTGACAGACATATCAAAGCAGTTCGATCTGACAGAGGTGGTGAATACACTTCGACAACCTTTATGAAGTATTGTGAAGAGCATGGCATAAGGAGATTCCTAATTGTACCATATTCACCTCAGCAAAACAATGTGGCTGAAAGAAAGAATCGAACATTTCTTGACATGATTCAATTAATGCTTAAGAGCAAGAACGCGTTGAAAGAATTATAGGCAGAAGATGTACAATGTGTCATTTATGTTTAGAATCGATATCCACATCCTAAGTTAGGAGACCAAATACCACAAGAAGCATGGAGCGGACAGAAGCCAACAGTTTCTCATCTCAAAGTGTTTGGTAGTGTAGCTTATGCACATGTACGAGATCAACGAAGAATGAAACTTGAAGATAAAAATCAGAAGTACATATTCATTGGGTATAATGAGAAGACAAAAGGGTACAAGCTATTAGATCCCTTAAGAAAGAAGGTGATAGTGATTAGATATGTTCGAATAAACGAAGCGAGCAAGTAGGAGTGGAACAATTTGACAGAAGTTATCGACGAAGTTGAAGAATCATCTATCATTGTACCAACAAGCATTTCAACAGAACATGAAGATTCTAAAAATGAAGATGAACCTCTACAACCAAGAATGCAAAGTTTTTAAGATTTGTATGATTCGACAAATGAGGT